GCATACCTCAGTAAACTCAGGCACAGTTCGCACCGGAGTCAGCTGCTCCTTCGAGCAGCATCTTCACATATGCCTAGGACCACAGCAGTTTGAGTAGGGGGGAAACAGCCTTAGGCTGGCAGCAGGCTCAGGAGACATCTCCAAGCTTCAGGTCACAGTGTCAAACAGCAGAGGAGCTGACTGGGGCACAAGGGTGCCCAAAGAGCAGAGCCTTGTGCCTTAGCAGCAGGCAGGGTCTGTCCCCCTGCTGCCTGGGTTAATCAGGCATAATTTATATCCAGCTCACTATTTACATGTGCATTTAGGCAGTTATTTTCACCACTGTAAGATAGTACTGTCCCTGACTATCTTATGGCAACAAAAATTAGGTTGCTGCTGTGTAATAGCATCATACATGTAGACTGTGAGGCTTTACACTATGGCAAATTAGGACTGCTGCAAAGTTAAGTGCATATGTAGATGCACCCTGGGAGTGTAGCTCCGAGAACCAGAGTGCAGTCCTGGGTGTCCTGCTCTGCATAGTCTTTCAGGGTTCTTGCATTTCTACCCAATCCCTTGGGGCACTGACAGCCTGTTCACCATTTGCTACTCACCATTTGCTTGGCTTACTGCCAATCCAGCAGTAAACTAGGCCCTTCTGGGGCATCTTCAGTGGCCCCCTTTTCTCTCCTTCAGCCACTCCCGTGCTTCACAGCTCACAAAATGCAATGAGCAATACTCAACTATAGTTACACTGCAACTGGGGAGCCTTTCTAAAAACCTTCCCCAGACTCCTTCCTAATCTTGCTGGCTCCTACCAGCTCCAGCCCTAGTGGGCTGCTCAGTTCCCTCACCAGTCTGTGGTACTGCTTCTATACTTCATGCACATGGAGCTCCTTCAACTAATGCAGTCAGGGTCAGTCTCCAATTCCCTACAGAGCTCGCAGCTATAAGCTTCTTCCTCCAACTCTGTCCAAGTCAGACTGCTATCTCTGCCTCAGATACAGGGATTATATAACCCCTGTATCCTCCTCCTTCTGAGCTGAGGCCATCCCAGCAGGCCATTATCTAATTAGCTGCCAGCTGTCCACTATCTAGCTGCTCTGCAGCTTTCTACCTCTACTGCCTAGCCTTACTTGCAGTAACAGGGCTTGGCCCCTGTTACATTATATTATCTATATCACAAACTTTTGTGGGCTAAAACTCACTTCATCAGATGCTAAGTGAGTGACAGCATCTGATGAAGTGAGCTTCAGTCCAAGAAAGCTTGTGCTTTCAGTTTGTATGTCTGTAAGGTACAAATCTACCCTGCCTTCTCCTTGACTTTAGACTAACATGACTAACAATATTTGCCATCCAGCTAGAATGCCAAAGAGGAGGGGATATGCTGCAATTACACAAGGAATAAGATGTCAAAAAAGGCTTTTTGATTTTGTCCTTCTGGGTTTAGGAAGGACCCTGAATGAGCCTGCTAGCAGGATTCTGTTCTCTGGAGTGCAGTCTTGTTAATGTAAGCTGACATCCTCTATGCAACATTTCAGTAGTGGAGCTAATAAAGCTTTTGAAAGCAAGTTTCATGGATTGCCATTATCTGAAACCCTGATCATCTGAAACTTTTGGATGTCCCCCAAAACAGTGTCTCTCAGCTGGTGGGATGTGAAGGTCGTGTAGGTGGGACATCAACTCATTGCCTGACTGAAAAAAATCAGTTGTTTGCACTTGAAATAGATTAATCAACAGATATCTCAAACAGTGCAATTTTGTGGGGGGTTTTTTATCATGGTGGGACCAGGGATTTTTGACAAAATGGTTGGTGGGACATGAGGTGAAAAGGTTGAGAACTGCTACTCTAAAACTTTGCTAAAGATTTATACTACAATGAATTCCCTTACATTGGTTTCACTGCAAATCCTAAAGGAACATTAAATATCAAACTGCCTCTTATGGTCTGGGCGTAAGCAGCTCATGCAGGGTCATGTAGTCCCCTGTAGCACGGCAACTGTATAACACTTGAGGCTAGACAGAATAAATCAGGGGCGGGCAATTATTTCAGGCAGAGGGCTGCTTACCCAGTTTTGGCAGGCTGTCGAGGGCCGCATGGGTAGCCCTGCCCCTTGATAGTTGCCCTGCCCCCTGGTCACTATCTTGGGACCAATGTCCCAAAGCGGGGCACAGGCTGGCAGGGGTCTGTGGAGCCAGGCTGAGCTGCACCAGCAAGGAGAGTGGGGAGCTGGCCCAGCTCCATTGAGCCCCTGCTGGCTGGGACCCCACGCTCCTGCCACCCTGCCTGGGCTCCGCTGGCACTAACCCCGGGACACAGATGCGGGCCCCATGCTCCTGGTGGCTCCCCGCCCAGTCACTCCCAGTGCTTCCCCCAGCCCTGTGGTACAGGCCGGGGGCAGCGCACAGCCCCGACCCCCTGCTCGCTGACAAGGAAGAAGCTGGTGCTGAGCACAGGGTAAAGTGTCCTCTCACCTGCTCCATGGCCGGCGCTCCCTGCTGCAGGTGCTTGCAGCCCACACAGGGCTGTCTGGAGCAGGCACAGGCAGCCCCATGCAGGCTGCAAGTGGCTACAGTGCGGGGCATGCAAGGGGCCGCTTTTACCCGCACTCAGCACCAGTTTGTAACCCTGCCCTGCTGCCAGCCTGGCCCTGCACTGGCTCCGGGCTCACCCATTGAGGCTGCATGGGGCGGCAGCCACTGCGGCCCCCTGGCTTGCCACGCCGAACAGTGTTGGCTGCTGCCGCCTGCCCAGAGCTCGCGCGCTGGGCAGCCCAGTGGCAGCAGTGGCAAACACTGCCTGGTGAGGCAAGCAGGGGGGCCACAGCTGCTGTCACTGTGCACAGCCCCAGTGGGCAAGGCCGGAGCCAGCACGGGGCCCAGGATGGCAATGGGGCTGGGTTACAAGGTGGTGCTGAGCGTGGCAGGGAAAAATGGCCCCTTGCCTGCCCTGTGCCTGGCGCCCCACGCTGCAGCCACTCGCAGCCTGCCTGGGACTGCCTGTGCTTGCTCAAGACAGCCTGACCCAGGCTGCGAGCAGCTGCAGCAAGGAGCGCTGGCCATGGGGCAGGGGAGGGGCTGCTTTCCTCTGCACCGGGAAGGAGTAGAGAAGGAGCCCAGGGAAAAGCTGAGCATGGGGGGAGGGGTGAAAGCAGCCGCTCGCCTGCCCCATGGCCAGTGCTCCCTGCTGCAGCCACTCACAGTCCATGCGGGGCTATCTGGAGCGGGGACAGGCAGCCCCAGGCGGGCTGTGAGTGGCTGCAGTGCGGGATGGCGGTTCCAGTGTGGGACAGCCATGTGGTCCCAGGCCAAAAGCCCCCACTGGGGCTCCTGGCTGGGGGGCGGGGCCAGGCAGGCCCTGCTGTTGTCGGAGCCCTCTGGTCTTCCCCTGGGTCCTACTGCCCTTGGTTCCTGTCATTTTTGACAGGAACCAAGGGCAGATCGATATTAATTTTCTAAATTTTTTAGGGGCCCCGCAGGCCGGATAGAATGGCCTCACGGGCCGGATCCGGCCTATGGGCTGTATTTTGGCCACCCCTGGGTTATACCGAGCTCAGACAGGTACTTGTATTGTGCCCTTTCTGTGCAAGTAGCCAAAGGCATAGAAACACTCTGAAAAAATCTTTCTGGCGTCCTTAGCTCTGAGGGCTCTTAATGTGTAAACCAAGTATATAAACAGTTCCCTGACAATAGCCAGCAGACTTCAGATATCTAGAAGGGACCCTAGTGCATGAACACCTTATTGTCTAACCTGTGCAGACCATATCCTTTCTAATATGAAAAAAAACAAAACCCAGTTTTAGATCATTTCCATATCTAAAGTGTACCAATTCTATGAAAGTCTCCCCTTCTCATCCAGACTCCTTTTAGGCAAACAAATTCCACGTTCCCCCCATCTCATTTATTTTTTCCTTTTCATTTCTTTAGTGCATGCTTCTCCACAGCTCTGGGCATCTGAATAAGCAAGTACAATACAGAACAAGCCAATTTTGAATTGTTGGGCTATGCCATTTAAGAAAATGAATATGGTTCAAATAACTTTAGCTGATTGTTCCCAGAACTTTTGAAAATGGAGTCCTCATCTATCTTAACATCTGTCAGTAAAAGCTTCTTCCCAAAATGAACCATTGCTCAGAAAACTACAGATCTTCACAACACAATACTTTCTCTCCTTTAATGCCTTTAATGCATGCTTTGATGAATAATGGAATAGGTAACAGTGTTGACTAACTCCCTATGGGACCACTCTTAGTGCCCACTAGGAATGTTTGTTTGCAGAATAACTCACTCCACTTACAAAATAAGCAATCTCACAGTTTGTGGACATACTTAGTGTTCAGTAAGGGAGTAAATGCAGAGTAACTAGTGCAGTGTATTTCATGCTGTAGTTTAATGTGCACTAACTTCTCCATGTAGACAAGTCCTTAGGTTTTTGTTTGAGTATTTTTTAATTCAATCTGATTTTTATAAACAAGGCAGGTTACAGCACCCAGAGAGCTTGAGGACATCCTGCCCAGAATTTGCCCACCTGAGTCGAGGGCAGGCTCCAAAATGGAAAGTGAAGCTGCTGTAGTCTTACCTTTCTGGCCAATCTTGAGCCCTTGGTTTCCAGCAAACCTGAGAGCAGCCATTGGAGACAAGCTGAGAGCTGCTTCAGCTACCAAACTCTGTGTTTGGTTGGAGCATGCCTGAAGACTTGAGTTGGTGGAGCATGGGCATGGTTTGTACACAAGCCTTGCTTCCTCTCCCTCCCTCCCTCTGCCAGAATCTAGCATCATGGCAGTGTAGATAAGCCACAGGAGTTCTATTCATGTTCACTGCAGCTTGCCTAATATGCTTCACATCTAGGGAAACATGTCTTATAGACAGAATGTCTCCATCCCTAAAACCCAAGTTTATTGCCCTCCTGGTTCTGTATACTGTTTGTGCCATATTGTTTCTGTATATATACAAATACCTTATTGCCATGAGGAATTACTAAGTAACTGCCTATTCCCACTTTGTCTCTACATTAACACTAGAGGAATGTGCCGATATTTAAAACCATGTTTAGCAGCCTTATCCATTATCCTGGGTACAATCTACGCTTGGAGGGAAAAGATCCCGTGCCACCATTTATTGACCAAAAATGGAGAGGGAGGGCTCAGCAGCGCCTAGAGGCTCTTCAGCAGCTTACTGTGTAAGTGTTCTCTAGTTGGATTTTTTTTTTAAATAGGATGCATAAAATGTACAATACAGGTTAGGAAGCTGCAATTTGCTCCTGGCTGTTTGCCCTTGAAATTGATTCTGAGATGGCAGCTGTTATAGAAAATGGCTGCCCATCAGCTTCTTAGAGTGAAACCATTATATATTTCTTCAGCCCTGTCATATTTGCTCTGCACTGCTCATGAGTAAACCAAAGCAGATTTATTTCAAGCTGTTGTGGACAGTGAAAGAGATCAAGGCCTCAGTGATCCAGGCCTGAGTTACTTCAGCAGTAGTCTTTTCCCCTTCACTCCTCATCAAAGGCTGAGACAGGTTATATTTTCCTTGCTGTTCCTACCAAGGTTCTAGATAGACCAGACATGGGTAGGGCCTTCTTCAAACAGGCAAATTGACCTGTGGAACTCTGTTTTGCAGTATGTCCAATTCAAATCTTACTTGGGCAAAGCACTTCAGCATGTATGTAAGTTTTTTCACTTATTTACTGGTCTTGAGTTTCCCTGTAGCTCTATTCAGGACAGTTGCTCATAGCAGAACTGATTGTTTTCAGTTTTACTTGGTACATAAAATTAATCAATAAATCACTTTTAGACTCTGACCTGTTTATGTGATACAGTTCCCTGGGTAGCAAACAAAAACATGATTTTTCCCTCTAAATTTCAGCATTTCAAAATGTTTGCAAAATAACTTTTTAAAATCTCGTGTAAATATAGTCCGTCACCAAGTTTTGACTGGCTCTGAATAAGCATTGCTGACACAGAAGACAGAATGTTACCCAGGTTGCTTGCCACTGGCTGTGTTGGCACTGCAGAGCTAACAGCATTAAATGCTTGTTTATATCAGCAAAGCCAGCAGGTGTGCTTCAAGGGCACAGAAGGAGCAATATCCATGTAGTATTTTACCCAGTCCCTGTTATGGCTATAATTGTACTTTGATGGGATGAGTGTCTTATGCTAATAAAGTCAGATCACTAAAATAAATGCCCACCTGTACTGAAGGAAATAAGAATCCATTTGGATGGAGCAGCACTCTGACAGGTAAAGTCCCAGGTAATGGTAATAGAGCTCAGCCCAGCTGACTCATTTGAACTGCAGATAAAAATTGCACAATTAAAGGTTAGTCAGAACCAGGAAAATACTTCAGATTATAAGGCTGACTCTTGACTCAGGACATTGGGCCAGCTGCTAGGAAGGGGTTATTTTAAACTATCTTTACAACATAGTAGAAGGTACATCAGAAGGGATTAATGAAGCATCAGACTCTGTACAGTGTGCAGGGCAGTGGCTGGCTGAACTGAGGTCACCAAGTTATACCATGAGGCTCAGGGTCTTATCATGCAAGGTCCTTAGAGACAAAACATCACAGCACATAGCAATTCATTTCAGTGCAAGCTGTTAAACTACATTACATACTGATATCTGTGCACCTGCAAACTATACTGTCCTTTTCAAAATTAGGGCAGCAGCATTTGATTCCATTTTATATTAAATTAGATTCAGGCTTCTCGTAAGTAGCCATACTTAGGTGTAGTCAAAACATGACTACACGTTTGGAGTTGTGTGATGTATGGAACAATTTTCTCAAGGAACATGGTATGAAGTTTTCCTAGGGCTGTCATTCTCCTTCAGGAGGTTGAAAAGGTTCAGAGAGAAGGCAGGGAAATGATTGAATTCCACCAAGTAGTAAAACTAGCGGTCAGCTTTCACTAGATAGAAGACTCCCTACTCCCTGCCTGTTACTGTGACCAATAAATCCTATGTGTTCTTGAACTTGGTGCATAAAAGGCAACCTCTAAGAGGTCAGGAGGGAAGCAGAGTATCTAATTTTCTACTTCAGACTCAGTGTTGATTCCTTCAAGGTGTGAAAACAGCGAAGAGAGGCTGTGTTTACAAGGGATATGTTCCAGCTAGCACACTCCTTAAACCCATCCCTATGGTCGGCCTAATTTTTCTTCACCGTTAAAGGACCCAGAGTGAAGGCTTGAGAGTCTATCATTTCTGTGTCTGAAGAAAATCTCTAGCTCTAGTTTTAGTGAAGGTAAATCTCTCACTTCCTTCATTGTATCTGTTCCCTAAAATTTTGGCTGATCAAAAGTATTCAGACTCTTTTGTGTACCTGCATGCATGGACTCCCATAGAAGTAAAAGAAGTTGAACTTTAATTCCCATGAAATTTTGAATGTGTAATCTCCATTGGGGAAATATTTCCAGGCCAATTTGACCAAAAAAAAGTTTTTTAAAAAGGTAATATATGCATGACTTTGTCTATGCACAATATGAAATTTCCATTACATATAGAGCTGCTGTACTGTGCCTGAGACTATGGAATAACTTAAATACATTCATAATATTGGTGTTACTTATGCAGTTGGATGCTTGTCTGCTACTTCGTTATGGAATCTGAAATGATTAAGTTTTAGCTGTGCAAGCACATAGTGAAATAATAATGATAATAATGAAGCATAGAAAAAAAGAACATTTCTGAGTATACTCCATTAAAATATAAGTTACATTAATGAAACCTATGTTTTGATTTATAGATTTCAGCCTTCTCTTCAGATTCCTCAGATAGTTTATGAAGATCCTGAAGTTACTGGAAGGAATCGCTACAAATACTTTGAACGGTGAGGAGTGAATGAGTAACTATTGTGTATGAATCTGCCAAATTCCAACTTCAGCCAGTCCCTATTTTACACTGATATAACTCCAGACACATCTGTGGAATTAGTTTGAATTTTACACTAATACTATAGAAGTTGGAATCTAGCCCTTGCTTAGCTTTGAGATTGCTGAAAGTGTGAAGTCCTTAAGCATCAGTTCTTTGATCATTACTTTGTGGATTTCCTACACCAATCAAGTAAAAAATCACAACACTTTTTACATTCCACATATCTCAAAAAGCTTTCAAAGAAGGAGTTAGATGTTGTGTAGCCAAATGCAGCAGCTATTCTCTGCTCAGCAGTTGCTCAGAGAGGGTCACGGTTATGAGACTGTTTTGCATGGAGGGGAAGGATATGGCCCAAGCCAATGGAGAGAGTTTTAGCCGAGACTGATTACCCTCACTGGGAGTTCAGGGCATGTGTTTCTCTCTGTCTTTCCTTATCTAACAGGAACACTGTACACATCCCTGCTTATCAAATACACTGCCCTCACCTTGTCTAGATCAGTGGTTTTCAACCTTTTTTCATTTGCGGACCCCTAAAAAATGTTGAGGTGTGGATCCCTTTGGAAATTTCAAATGGAGGTGTGAACCCTCTGAATTATAAGTGTGGGTATTCATATACTTTTGATTAATTATAGTCACCATTCGTGGACCCCTTAGACACAGTCTGTGGACCCCCAGGGGTGACCACAGGTTGGACCACAGGTTGAAAACCACTTGTCTAGAGGTGCAAAGCTATCCTGCCTTCTGCTAAGCTACATTAGAATTTTTTTAATATACCAGATGATTTAACAACATCGCTGCAGCAGGGCATTTGCTACCATGGTCCCCTTGCTTTACCCATGGCAGGCTAGGGTGGTTGTGGTTGTACTTGAGATTGCCTGTGTAGTTTTGCTAACAAGTTAGACAGCGTCCCTTCCAGCCCTACTGCTCTATAATTTTTAAATTTCCAATACCTGCTGGTGAGAAAAGCAGCAGGAATATCAGATACATTTTTCACCAGACAAATGCTCCATCTTGCAAAACCTCAGTACCCCCAAGAATTACTCTGCAGTTTGTCATTAAGCTAAAAACATGGGATAGAGTTTGAGCCAGCAGTTCTCTCATGGCATACCGAACGCATGCTAGTCTAGCCACAGAGGTACACTGGGATAAATTCACTGCTAGCATTGGCAAACGCAACACCATTCACTTCAAGGGACTAGTTTTAAGGCTGTTAGCAAACCTGGCCCTTGTTAAATCCAGTTGTCTAAATGAATCAAAGACATTTAGTTATGTTAGCAGTATAAAGACATAGACCAACTTATCCACTGCCACAAGGTTAAAATAAACTTTTCATTGTCTTTCAGAGGCTACTAAAGAAACTTGGTAGTCAGATACATTGTTATTTGGATGACAACAATTCCTATAACTTGTACCTAAACAAGAAATTAATAATAATACTTTGGACTTTTAGCACCTTTCATTTTCAAAGTACTTCAGAAACTATAGTCATGTAAAGAAGGAAACATCAAATTAGATAATTCTAAAGCATGGCTTATCTTAAAAGTTGATTGAAGTTGTTGGGGTTCATGCCAGGATTCGTTTAAGCTTTAGAAAACCCAAACATATACAAGGAATTGAGAACATAGTCAGTAGTACCTCAACCAATAGTAACATCATGTGATTACTGTGATGCTTTTCAACTCCAGTTTGAAGTGCCACACAATTTTAGCAGCTGCTATCTTAAGAGCTTCTGGCACTCAAGACATTTTTCTACCAGCTAAAAGAAGCTTGGAATTTTGTTTTCCAACTACATTAAAATATTAGTTTCTAACTCTAGACCAGGGGTATCAAACTCACCCTGTGCTCTGGGCTGGATCACAGCAGAGGAGGCAGTGGGGCCAGCAGCAGCTGTGGCAGAGCTGGTGGGGGGCCACTAGCAGTGATAGCGGTAGAAGAATCAGTGATGACAGTGGCTCAAACAGCTGTGTGCAAAGAGCAGAATGCCAAGTGGCCACAGGGTGAGCAGGGTTGTATTTGCATAGACCTCACTCATCCCCCTGCTGTTGACAGCCATGTCCAAAGCAGCCCTGGAACCTTGAATTCTGCAAAAGGCCCCGTCTTCCGCTAGCCTTCTCCCATATTACCTGGCCTGGCAGGAGCCCCATGGGGTATATTCAGCAGCTCTGAGGACCAAATCTAGTCCATGGACCATATGTTTAAGATACATTCTAGAAAGCTGGTAAATTTGGGCTAGTAAAGCCAAAAGTGTGAATCACAGAGTAGCAGCACAGTATGACCAGACAGAAATGAAAGACTGAAAACACCTATGATAACTTTTTCAGCTATAAAAGAAAAGAGAGAGAGAGAGCGAGCATGTGAGCAAGGAAGGGAAGATGTTTATAAGCAACCCTGAATGTCACAGTAAACCAGAAAATAGCTATAGGATCATAAAATCTAGAAGGGCTAGATCTTTCCCTTGATATCAAGTTCTTTGTGAAGGTTTTCAATTTGAGGATTTGTTTTAGCAGAATAAATATGATGGAGAAGAAAAGAACTTTAAACCAGGACCAGATAAAGCTCCAAACCTATTTTCCAGCCAAACAGCCTTCATCCTCATTCTAAATCCTGACGTATCAATGAACTAAGCCATTAACCTTCTTGATCTTGATTCTCTTTTTCTTACTAGAGTGTAATCAGTGTTAATTCCCTTAAAAATCAATGAAGCTAGGCCTTATAGTTAAGTGAAATGAGAGAACTGGTCTCTGAATGAGAAACTAGAACACGTTTTCCCACTCAGAACAAGAGTTCTCATATATTGCTGATGACATAGTTACACAAGCTCATTAGACTTGCAAGAACTGCTATTTTGTAAGTATTTTTAAACACTCAGGGACAAATCCCCAGCTGCTGAAAATCAACATAATCCCAGTGAAATAAATGGAGCTAGACCATTTTTTACCACTGAATGATCCAGGTCTGCTAAGCTGTAATATTCTGTTATTACGTATGTTATTCTTGTGGCTGTTGTCTTAAATGTGTTCTCTCTCTTTCCAGGCCTTACATCCCTTTCAGTCAGTCATTTCCACTAAATGTTATTTATGCAATGGCAAAGTAAGTAGTGAACTCCAGAGGAGCACTGTTACAATGGGTTTTTATAGCCATAAATGATGTTCAACTTTATTACAGAAAAAAAAAGATATTTTTAACAGAGAAGCAATAGGGTGAGCTCATTAAAATAGTGGAAAGAATCTGTCCACCACCATGAAATCCCTGAAGGAGTAACTTAGGCATAAATTCCTACAGGTAGGTTTTGACATTGCTTGGGATATGTAAGCAGCACTACATGACTGGGGATCAGATATCTGTGCGCTTTGAATATGTTGTGATCAAGAAGCATTAAAAAGAAAGCTGAGAGTGAGTCATAGAGGAAAGGTCTCTGATACAGTCAGATTTTGAGTTGTTTTATTGTTTCTTGTCAAATACCTTATGTTACATTCTTGCATCATTTGCAGTACAGTATTCTTAAATTAGCATGATCCAGTTTTTATGGGGGTCAGATTCAAATGTGCTGTCAAGTGGGCACCGCTCCCAGTAAAGTCACTGAAAATTGCTTCAACTTGTGAGTTGGTTGAATATTCTCCAGGGAGCATTGGGGTGTGTGACAGGACAAGCCCCAAGAGTGGCTGCAATGGCCCTTAATGGCAAAATAACTGGGCTCAGCTCTTCAGAGTAACTTTCTCAGTGTCCTACCTGCCTTGATGAAAATAGTGTTTCACTTGAGAAACTTATCTCAGTCCCTGTGTTTTTGCCTCCTGGATTTACAAGTGGCCAAGCTGATTACGCCCTGTTAGTGCCTGAGGGCATGGATAGGGCCAACTCACCTTAGGGACATTAATTAATCATGGACTCCAACCACCCATGCCTCATAGGTGTCACTCTGTCATCATTTTTCATGGGACTTCCCAGTCCCATCCACACTCTCTGTCCCTTGGGCACGAAGCCCTTCATCTAAGCCTTGGCCTTCTTACTGGGTCCTTTTCTCTTGCTGAGACCCTCAGTCTTGGCCCACTGTCTCAGGCTTAGGCTCCCTGGCCCCAGCCCTTTGCATTACTGCCTTATACAGGGCTTAAGGTAAATCCAGTATCTTTTATTAGACAGATTTATCCAAAGAACCTTGTCTGCCTATGTCCTTAGACCAACATGGCTACAGCCTACACCCTTGTATAGGGCTTAATACACAGCAGTCTCTTAGCACCCTACTGCATGACCTCTGAACCTCCCCTGTAGCCACAACCTGGTGCTGCAGTTATAAACATAAACTAAGGCACCAACAAACTGCTTTTAGCTAAAATCAGTCCCCACTCTAGGTCATTATCCCCAAATTCTTCAGACTCCCCTCTCAGTTGTCTCCTTCCATCTCTCTCTTTCTCTCTCTCACTTGAGTATTCCCTGCAGAGTACAGGGCCAGACTGCCTGCTCCCACTTGGGAGCTGAGCTTATGTCCCTCTGACTGCCTTCTCCGACTTGGGAGCTAAGCTTATGTCCCTCTGGGCACCTTTCTTCTGGTCACCTGACTCCTCCACCATGCACACGTCTTTCCCCCTAGGTCAAATAAGTCTTCTGCTCCTGCTGTCCTGTTGTTACCTGGCTCCTCAGTCTTTCCCCCTTAAAGTGACTGGGGCAGAAGTCCCTATTACAGGATAGCAAAGGTGTTAAGTTACTGCAGTCCTGCTTTATATTACTTGCTTCTGTTAGGTGCTTTACTACCGCTCCTTCCAACTCATTCATTTTGAACTCTCATTGAATGCCAAGTCAGTGGAAAAGCAGTGCAGCTTGTGCTTAACATCTTGCATGAAACTCACATAATTAACTTAACCATAGAGTCTGGGTCAGACTGCCATCAAGCTGCAGCTGTTTACATTGGACTGCACTAGGACCTTGAATCATGAAATGCAGTGCTGTCAGATGCAGGTGTACTGGAGGCTCACATGTAATAATCTAAGCTGGCTACTGCAGAAGGCCTGTGGTTTGCTCACCTAGAGAGAGGCTTTTCTGAGGTGCTCAGCAGTGGGCTACCTCTGTTCTCGATGAAATCACTGGAGCTCATTTGAGTGGAATCAGCCTTAAACGGAGGCAGAGCACCTCGGAAAATCCTATTTGTAACTAGTGCATTTTATAAATTAAAAAAAAAATAAATAAAATACAGCAGTTTATACAACATGCATTTTTTTTCTTTTTCAACAGGACAGATCCATATGTTCACTCATCTTCCATCAGTGCTAGACAACAGTATCCCATATCACGAACTGTAGGGACACAGACAGATTATCGGGATGGTGAAGCTCAGACTGACCCCTACTCCCCAGAATATATAGTTCCTCAAGGTTCAATCCCAGAACTGCTGACACTTGCAACTCTTACTTGGGGTGAGTTGGAAAACGAAGAAACATGGTTATAATAGCACTGATGCACTCTCTCTGAGAACTGCAGAAGGATGTTTCCAAATTGGTATATGGTTTCAGTTTTTTCCCAGCTGTGACGTTTCCTTGCTGTTTTCTTGGGGTACATAATTTTATCCAAATTTAAAATGGATACATGGCTTACCTAATAGAGCTCCTGTGAGGCACTTTGTAAGGTGTTTTCATTCAAAAGGCATTATGTATTGTAAATAAAAGTATTTCTTCCACTGCTTCAAGTTAGAAATTTGGGATATAAAAACTCCTACACTAGTGAGCCAACAAAAACCAGTGTCCCACTGCTTACCATGGTAGATGTTTCAGAGGAAGGAGCTGGTCCTCAAATGCATTTTAATATACTGCATGATTCTGTGGAAAGGAAATGCCTTTCTGATCCACCCCCTAGCTGGTGACCACCTTATGTCCTGGAGTAAGAGAAGTGAGTACACCTCTTTTAATATCACTGTAGCAACTGCAGAGGCCAGTCTTTACCACATTTTAAAAGCTCAGGGAGATGGCAGCCTCAGAAGTATTTACTTCCATGTTCCAAAATCAGTGCTTCTCAACCAGGGTGTTGCAGCATCATGGGGTGTACTGAGATCCTTTCAAGGGTACCACAGGGTGCCATGCAATGTTAGCATGCTTAGGTGTATAAACATGATTCACAAGATAAACTCAAAGGTTTCAAATAGGAATTCATACTATTAAAAACCTTCTGACCTGTGGTATTGTGGTGTTTCTGCATTGTTTGCAACAGAAGAATTGCTCTGTTATTTTTCTGTAGTCAAAAAACAAGTGGCATTCTCCAAGGGAAAAGCTGGCATTTTCTGGGGGCTGCCTTGAGTCTGAAGAGGGGTGTCTTGAGTCTAAAAAGTTTGAGAACTACTGCTCTAACTGTTCTGTTTATATTTACTACCCACTCTTATATCCATCACTGTAATATCTTAGCACAGTAGTGATGAATATCATCCTGACCTGTAGTCTTCCTAAAGAAATGCTGCTTCTTCTCTCTGAAAGGCCGGGGCCTTCCAGCAGGACTAGCTGAAGTGGAGATGATTGAACGTGCCCGGGAGAAACGTGTCTGGGAATCAACTCTTCCACCACTGAACGATGCCTCACAAGTTGTGAAGAGGAGGAAGATGATGGATGACATGGAGAGGAAGGAGTGGGCCTTCCGAGAACAGGAAATAGAAAAGTAGGAGCTAAAGTTGTGCATGCTGTTGGTCTCTCAGGTGTAAGGAAACCAAATGGAGTTGGAATCAGATAGCTAAAGGTTTGGGAGAAGGCCAGAGACCCCTGTCTTTAGGTCACCAATTCAAGTTTGCCCAATTTATTAGTCACAAAAGGTGCTCATCACCTTTGGTAATTAGAATCTAATTACTCTATCCAACTGAAAAGCCCTCCACGCAGATGGCATCCCTCTTACTGTTTTTGGAGGACATCACATTGAGTGAGCATGGAGGCTGCATGCTGAAATCAAAGCAATTGATCTGGGGGTGTGAATTTTATTTGATGTAAGAGACTATTACCTAACATCTTTCACCAGTGAAACTCTCTTTTAGAAAAGACTACATATGCTAGGTTTGCAGTCTGGCCACATTTAAGAATCGGGTCAATGACCTGTTGGGTTTAGCTGTGGCAATGGTGCCAGGGAGCTCTGTAGAGCACTACAGTTAAGACCTTGCTTTTCATTCTTTTGAAGATTGCAAGAGCTCCGACTTGAAATCTTAAAAAAGTTGCTGAAGCAGCGAGAGGAGAAGCAGAATGAGGTGGATGTCAGCCGCTTGGATGCTCATTGGTTTAACCGTCAGAAAGCCAAAGAAGAGAGGGTGAAAAGAATTCGACACGAGCATGTCAAAGGTAAACTGGGAGGAAAACAGGAGGCTGGGACTTCATTTTCAGACTGCGCCATTCCATTGTCATAAGGCTGCAACTTGGTGTTCAACATGAGGGCACATCTGCGTTTTGGGCCTGCCTGGGCAACCTTTGTTCTGTAGGCTGTATTCTGTCCTAGACAAATAGAAGCCTGACCAAATTCCTTAGGATGTGACTCTTTCAGGACCATGACTGTCAGAGCACCACTCATGGCTACAATTATTTTTCAGCCATCAGGAGGCTGGTAGCCAAGGGGAAGAATGTGGAGGGGAAGCTGGAGAGACGAGACATCATCAAGGACTACTCTAATTTTGCATCGCAGCCTTATGGGCCTCTGTCCAGAATTGGTTATTTTCCAGATAACCACTCTGAACGTTTTGTGGTAAAAAGCTACTTTCTTAACACCTATGAGGGTAAGGCATCTTCAAAAGTTTCACATTAGGAAACATTTATTTAAATATTAACCTAAGCCTACACTGAAGTTCAAGTCTCTCTCCCTCCCTCCCTCCCTTCTCTTCTGCTGCACCCCTATTCCTATTCCACCTTTCCTAGGATTACTTGAGCTGGAGGCATCTCTCCCAGACTCCATCACCCAGCTCCAGACCAAAGTTCCACAACCCAAGGTCACGACCACTAAGGATGGGTTTATCAAGCGATCAGCAAGGCTAGAGATGGAGCTGTCACAGGTTCACCAGGTATAGTGCTGCAACTGGTAACACATAAGATTCCTTTCAGATTTGAACCGTACCTTGCACAGAAATGCTATTGGGAAGAAATACCCCAATATCACTTCCTAAATGCCCATCATGTAAAACCAGAAATAAGACTAGCTGCAGGGAGAGAGCATTAACTAATGAACTTGCAAGTTGTCATTTGGCATAATCACTACTACTCTGAGCCCAATGCATCTTCCTTCTGACTCAGTGTTCTCTCTTCTGCTTCGGCTCTGTGGAAAAGCTTCTAGTTTCGTAGAAGGGGGTTGTTTTTTGGTACCCACTCTAATCCTTCCCTGATCCTCTATGTTTTCTCCTTCTCTTTTTGCTGTTGCTATATGAAAAGATGTTGGGATTATGATCTCTGATGTAAATCATCAGTTTTCCTCCTTTCTTTGCCTATTTTCTTTTGCCTTCCCTTTTTAATTTACATATGGTAATCTTACTGGTTAAAATTTCAATAATTAAAAATTAAACTAAATTGGGATTATACATTTTAAAATCCTATACATCTGCAGCAAAGCATTGGTTAGACAACACTGCTTATCTAAACTAGATCAGAACAGGTTGCTGCTATTTACCTAGGTGCTTGGACAACTAGCATTTGATTTTCAAGACTGAAAAACTATTGCATACACAAAATGCACATATATAAATCAATCACAGTTGTACTTGCAAATAAGATGTCTACACATGCAATGTAAATGACTAATGTGGAAGCAAATACCCTCTTTACATAACAGCTGGAGCAAGGAACAATCCAAATGAGATGAGTTATAAGGTATGCATCTAGTGATATAGTTATGAGCTTGCATTATTTTTTAAATCAGCTGTACGGTTATTGGATGACATATCCCCAAAAATTTATATATAAAACTTTGTTAGCTTTTCATTTGTATTTTCTTCTGACCTAACTGATGAGAAATATTTAGTCATTCCCTTTGTATATACAGGTGTTCCTGTGTTTTAATGTAGCGCAATAATCCATTTCCAGAAGGCGGTAGCTGTCTGTTAAAGCATTTTAAAATAAAACTGAAATCCTGCTTTAAAATAATCTCAAAGCCAATTATCAAATTTTAGGAAATTCAGTGTTGTATCTGGTCGCTACTTGAAAAGAGAGTTTCCCTCTGAAGATTTAAGATTTAAGTGCTAGAGAGCTCTTTCTTCCAGTCAGTGCTGAGCCAGTGT